TTACTTGCAGCGGCTTGTAGTGCATTACCATGGTAGCAACCCTGAGCATTCAACTCGGCCCCAAATTCCAGGAGAAGCCGCACAGCCGATTCATTTCCCCGAATTGCAGCGGATTGTAGTGCATTGCCATAAAGGCCACCCTGAGCATTCAGCTCCTGCCCGCGCTCGAGGAGAAGCCGCACAACCGATTCCTTTCCCCGTATGCGGCGGCATGTAGCGCATTGCCATGAACGTCACCCCGAGCCTCCACCTTCGCCCCGTGCTCCAGTAGAAGCCGCACAACCGACTCGCTTCCCCTGGATGCGGCGGCTTGTAGTGCATTGCCATAATAGCCGCCCTTACCCTTCACCTTCGCCTCATGCTTGAGGAGAAGCCGCACAACCGATTCATTTCCGTTTCCTGCAGCGGCTTTTAGTGCATTGCGATCCTTACCACCCTGAGAATTGACCTCTGCCCCATGCTGGAGGAGAAGCTGGACAATCGATTCGTTTCCGTCACTTGCTGCGGCTTGTAGTGCATTGCCATACTCGCCACCCTGCGCATTCACCTCTGCCCCATGATTGAGGAGAAGCTGCACAACCGATTCGTTTCCCCCGTATGCAGCGTCTTGTAGTGCATTGCCATTGTCGCCATCATGAGCATTCACCTCCGCCCCGTGCTGGAGGAGAAGCCGCACAACCGATTCTTTTCCCTCACGTGCTGCGGCTTGTAGTGCACTGCCGTAAAAGCCACCCTGAGCATTCACCTCTACCCCACGCTCTAGGAGAAGCCGCACAACCGATTCGTTTCCCTCGTATGCAGCAGCTTGTAGTGCATGGCCATGAAAGCCTCCCTCAGAATCCACGCTTACCGTAGCCTCCTTTCTACTGACTAGGAACCCACTGGCTGTCACTAAATCGAACAAGGAAGAATAGTAGATAGCTGGTGGGTAAACGCCGGGGCCGGAGAGCTCATCTCGGCCAGGATCACCAGGGCCATATACATCTAACCAGACCTTGCCAAGCTCGAGAACCTTCACCCCCGCGTCGGAGAGTTGTGTGGGTGCCGTATCCTCAATACGTTTGATATACACAAAGCCAATAGCGAGCACTGTGGTAGAGAAATGACGTTTCTTCGACTTGCGTCCCGTGTATAGTGCCTTGGGCACTATGTCGCAGTATTCGACTGAGGCGCGCATGCCCCATCAGTAAATTGGCTTCATCCTCCGAAATATGATAATAGGCACAAGGGCCCTGAGTTGCCCGGTTAGAGATCAAATATTCCTTTACGGAAAAATGTGCCAGTAGTAATCGGCGGTTTTCCGGGGCGGATGACTCATCGTCCCTGGCATCCTCGAAGGAAAATAAGGCTGGGGCAAATACTCATGAGGCAACCTGTATCAAAAAGAGTCCGAGTCCCAGGATTCTGGCCATATTTTTCGACATCATATTCGATCACGGCGGCCTCCGCAAGCTGGCCTAAGGTCAAGGGCACTGCCGAAAATGCCAGCCAATTCATCGCTCGCTGAATGTATATCCTCTGCGTCTCGTCGATGTCTTCCAGGATCCTCGCGTAGACAGAATCCAAGTCTTTGGGCAACTTCTTCAACGCGGCTCTTGCATCGTCTGGTGCCAAACATGTTTCTAGAATTCGCAAGAGACAATCCACCCACCGGAACCTTCAGATTTCCACCTTTGTATTAGCCTAAATGCAAATCTCAGTAGGCGAGTATAACATACATTCCTTGCGAAAGAGTAACTAGTGTGTGCTCAATCTCATCCTTAATTTCTTCGGTAAACCTCTTGAAGCCACCCTTGCCCACTAGAGATTTCTGGACATAAGTTCGGATATCCAGGTCGACAGTTTTAGATTGTAGCGAGATTGAGAAAGCCCTGAGTGGTTCTAGTGATGCTGCTATATCGGCCTCGGGCCGGCTAGTGACGAGAATAGAAAGCGGTCCGGCCTTATGATCCACCGTAAGCTCACTAATCCAAGACAGGAGACTCTCCCTTGGGCCCTTGGGAAATTCATCCAAGGCCTCGAGGATGATAAAGGTCTTCTTAAAACCCTTTATAATCTGGGACAATAGATCCTTCAGAGCGCGGGTATCTGCCGACTTCCCAATTGCCTTGGTGCTATTATAGAGATCTACAACCGCAGCTGGGAGACCTCGATCCGAAGGCCTTTTTGGAAGCTGGTCAATAAGGGATAGGAGCATATTTTCCAATTTCTGCTTCCCAGAGTCGCTGAAGGTGAAGTAGAAATAAGCCAACCCGTAATCATCGTTCGTATCGCACAGATCTTTAACATCTTCAATGGCCGTAGCACTAAAGACTGAGTTAGCAATCTGGAAATCATATTGCTCCTCCGGGCATCCACTTGAGCTCGCACCTTAGGACACTCTTGCCACATCCGGCTACCGCATGCAAATTTCAGTAATATTCTTCAGACATAGGATTTCACTCAGCTGTACACTTACGTATTCCATAAAGCCAGAGAACCCCTCCTTGGTGACCCTTCCAGTCCTTGTACTCATCTCCCGCGAGCAGCCAATTCCCCGTACCAGGTTCGCGAACCGCAAGTGCAGATGAATAGTTGGAGGCTGGATCAACAACATTAAGCCATTTGAGTACATTCTTGAATTCTTTGTCTGGAATACCAGAAACACCTGATATTAGCAAAGAAAATAAGATGAAGTGCTAAGGATAATGTGACCAAGTACCGTCTAGTTTTCGCGACATCTTTGTTACGGTCTTCCTGAACTAGTTAGCCTTCCCACCAATAAAAGAAGGAAATGGAGATTTTGCATTCTCGGGGTGCAGAAGAATGGATAACCTACGTTGTGGCTGTAGCCAACAAGAGTTGAAGTCTCAATCTCTGCTCTCCAATCAAGCCCAGGTAATGCTCCATTTTTGGTTTATGAATAGGCCAAAGATACTTTCTCGACCATTTCCTCCATCCCGCAACATCTAGCTTTTTCTTCAGCTTCTCCAGGACTGTCTGGTAATCCTTCAAACTATCGTCTTTTGCCCATTCAAGAAGGGTCGGGTATTATGAGTTGTTCCCATCATCTCCGGTGGCAAGGCTTTGGATTTCCTCGAGCTGGTGGTGGATACTTTTAATCTCGTCCCCCAATTTCTTGAAATCCTCCTGGCTCCCCTTGACTGCGTCGTAGTAGTCATAGCAAAGTTCGCAAACCTTCGCGCTGAGGTGAATGAGAGGAAAGCCGCTGACGCCGTGGAGAAGGCGTCTGCCATTTCTCTTCTCGGGAGTGTTGTGTGCCTAAAGAGGGGAAGTGCGAGAATACGGCTTTGATATTTTGCTCCTTTTTGGGAGTACAACAGAACCGACAGCTGGAGTTCCCTCTTGAGGTGGATGGGCCGGTAATCTTTAGATTTTTTTGAGTTATGATTTTCGGCGGATTCAAGGATGGGTAGGAAACAGCAACTGGCGTACTCCGAGCGGGTTTCTTGGGAAAGAAAAGCTTTTTAGGTTCACTGTGAGCGGGGTCACCCAAATTCCTGTGCTTACGCACAAGAACAGCAGCCGCACGCCTCGTTGCTGTCGGCAAAACTAGGGGCCAACCATTACTCGTGTACAGATTAGCCCCATGCTAACATTTTCAGTTGCGATCGAATATCTTGCCTTACACCGGTGTTGCAGCAAGCGAGGGGGATCCTGCTCGGTGGTTCCCGTAAAAATCGGGAAAAAATTAATTCGGACGCATTATGGTACTCGGGCAACTCCCTCCAGCAGCTGAATTCATCCATCCAGGTTTATTTCTATAGAAAAATACGAGGATCGCAGCATGTTTTGGCGGAGTGGAATGCTATCCAAATCAGAGTCGGAACTGCCATCCTTTCGCCCGCTACAAGTAATGAGTATCTGGAATAACGTCATTCCCGTGGAAGTGGCTCATCACCGGGATGCTGCTCACCCATAGCAACCAGTAGAAAATGAATTACATCTTTGATTATATCTACAAATAATTATGTGACCACCATGAAATTTTATCAGTAAGTACTTTGGAATATGGAGAATTAGAACATGTGGATTGTATTTCATAATTATCAACTTTTCTTCTTGTACAATGTTTTTAAAATTGTTTTCTTTAAATGAATTGGCTATGATTTTCTTGCAAATAAAATTCAAACAATATGTTAGAAGTACCTTCATAGATGATTCAAGAGATTGAATAAGTCATATAGGCTTATAGTGAATAGTTATTACTATTGATTATTATCTTTTTTCAATGTTATAATATCTAGCAGATCCTAATAGAAATTAAGTAAATTACATACAAAGTTGAAGTATTTGATACTAGTATAACTTGCTCCTATGATAACTTATAACTTTGACCTTTTAAAATCTACTTAACATTTTCTATTAATACAAGAACCCCAGTTTTTAAAATGCCGGGACAGGTATTCCATATTATATACTTATATTATAATTAGTAGCTAAATAGTAGATTAAGAACTAGTTGTCTTTATTATCTATCTAAATAATTAGTACCAATAATTAGGACAGCTTGAAATTTTGCTATTATATGCACTCTGATTGGGAGATTAAGATATAATCCTAAGAGTTTGATTAAATACTAGTTCCCTATTGGATTATAGTATAATTAAAATACTATAATTATTCTAAATAACTCTTATAATGATTAATATAATCATATTATTCTAATTAAATATTGATATAGATTAGCTAACATATTCACTAAATGTATAGAAGACTATCAGTAAGTATTTAGATAGTGTAACAATTTTATTTTTGTAATCCTGTAATCATATAATTATTTACTTACAGTTTAAGTCTTATTCAGTTATTTGACAGGATACCCCTCTCTGAAACCAAATTCAATAGAATGCCACTGTAAAAGAAAATTTGATAGAATGCCATCCACTGCATGTGTTTCAATCTAATATTTTCTACACAGTATGTTTCATCTCCAGTACTATAGGTCTAATATAGAATGAAATATATTAAACCAATATAGAAGCAATTATTTAATGGTATACTTCTCTACAGCTCTGACTTTAATAGAATACTCCAGTAAAAAAAAAAAAGTTGATAAAATCCCTTTTTATATATCAACTGGATGAGATAACTATAACTATCTTGAGTCTAAATATTTCTTTTTAATTTCAGATTTTCCTAATAATAAGCATCTCTTTTCTACTTTCATTTATAACTGTTATTTCTCCTCTAATAGCCTTATTATAACTTTTTCATTATAGCAAGCTCTCAAAGCATTCTCAAACTTCAATCCTCCACTATACTAACAAGTACTTTGTAACATAACTTAGTAATAAAAATCAAGAAATATAACCTTATTACTTGTATAATATTGTGAGTTTTTGTTTGACAACTGTTTACCTATTTTATATTTAGATAATATGGAGCAGAGAGGCAGAATAAGTTATAATAGTTGAATATGATATTTTAATATACCCAGAATCCAATGTTTAGTACTTGCTTTTGTATATTACTATAATATATTTACTTGTATCACTTATTATATTTTATTATATGTCAGACTACTATGATTGAATGTGAGATAAACTATATGAAAAAGATTTGGTAGAAGAATACATAGTAGGTGGCATTCTATCAAACATTTTTTTCAGTAGCATTCTGTCAAATTTGGGTTTAACGAGGGGTATCCTGTCAAATAACTGAATCTTATTTTAATGATGAATGTACAGAATATAGAAAACATATCTGAAAAACTTCAAATTAACTGTACTTACTCAAATGGCAACTATAAAGTTGGATGCAAAAAGTCTAAGTTATAGGTTATTATAGTAACATGTTATGCTATCCTCA